GCGTCCGTCACCCTCCTCCTCTTCTACCTCCCCTCCCTCCTCTCTTCCACCTCCGCACCCTCCCTCCTCTTCTACCTCCGTCACCCTCCCTCCTCTTCCCACCTCCGTCCACCCTCCCTCCTCTTCCACCTCCGTCACACCTCCCTCCTCTTCCACCTCCATCCCCACCTCCCCTCCTCTTCCACCTCCATCACCCCTCCTCCCTCCTCTTCCACCTCCATCCCCACCCCCCTCCCTCCCTTCCACCTCCCACCCTCCCTCCTCTTCTGCGTCCCATCCCTTCCCTCCTCTTCTACCTCCGTCACCTCCCTCCTCTTCCCTCCTGCCCTCCTCCCTCTTCTACCTCCATCCACCCTCCCTCCCTCTTCCACCTCCCGTCACCCTCCTTCCTCTTCCACCTCCGTCACCCTCCCTCCTCTTCTACCTCCGTCACCCCTCCCTCCTCTTCCACCTCCGTCACCTCCTCCTACCTCCTCATCACCTCTCCTCCTCTCATCCCTTTCCTCCACCTTTTTATTACTCCCTCACCTTTGTTTATCTTCATCTCCTTATCTTCTCCCTTATTTGTATCTTGTTACCTCCCTTCCCTTAACACCCTCCTCCACACCTCCACCTTCGCCTACCCTCCTCCACCTCCTTCCAAATCCTTCCTCACCTCTCTCCATCACCCCCACGCCCCTCCAACTCCTCACCCCCCACCTCCCCACCCCCCACCCCTCTTTTACCCATCTTCCTTTTTTTCACCTGGTCTCAATAGAAATTCCTTGTCTTGTTCCACACTGGTGAAGACGGTCTATATCGAGCGATTTTTCAGTATGGGAGAGTTGAACAAATGCCATTATAGGGCTTACCACTGTCTTGTGTGTGTGTGTGTGTGTGTGTGTGTGTTTTATGTTGTGACGTGTGTGTTTTATGTGTATGTGTGTTTTTATAGGTGTGTGTGTGTGTAATTGTAGGGGAGAGAACGTGTATGTATTTTGTGTGTGTATTTTTATAGCCGTGTGTCTGTGTATGTTTCAAGAAGAGCGTGTGTTTAGATTAAATTAGATCAGATCAGGTTAGCTTAGATTAACTCAGCTTCCATTATGTTAGCTTAAGTTAGGTTAAATTAACTCACATTAGATCAGTTTAAATTAACTAGCTTCCGGGTTCAGATTGAGAATGGTTCAGGTCCGGGTAGAGGAGTCTCAGTACCTGAGTATCACAAGAGACTCAGTAATGATAGGCGTTGCAGGACAAGTATTCACTGCACACCTGCTTCGCACCTGTACACTTGTCTCACACACCTGCACACCTGCGTCACACATCCGCTTTAGGAACCCACCTGTACAGAAGGAAGAATATTCATTGATTCATACATACATACCATACATACATACATACATACATACATACATACATACATATATTCCATAGTAGACAGGGATTAGTATATACTGCCTGTGTCTGTATGTATGCATATATTTATGAGTAACTGGACGTCAGGCTATACCTACTATATGTATTAATTTATACATGGTGCTGTGTGTGTGTGTGTGTGTGTGTGTGTGTGTGTGTGTGTGTGTGTGTGTGTGTGTGTGTAAGGGACTCAGGCTCCCAGCGTAAACAGTATAAAGACTCTTGAAGACTCACCATCATTTGATCCTTCCCACATTCGTTCTTTCTCTATACCCTCATTATCTGACCCACTTCTTCCCTCATCTCCCCTTTCCATCCTTCCATTCCAGACACGATGGAAGGGGGAACGACCTCTGGCGGTGTAAGCGTTAAAGTGAGTGTGTTAATGTACATAAGTAACATTCAAGACATTCACTCACATTCTCTGATTATAAATATATACGGCGAAAACGAAAAACCTCCATTTACCGGACATCAATCTCAAGGGTATGGTCCGTTATAGGGAGGTGTCAGATCTAATGGATTTCGATATAACGGACTACTCACCCTTACAGTCCGTTAAATATAGATCTCACTGTACAATCCGTTAAATGTCTATATTAACTCTATATGAAAGGTATAGTTAAGGAAGCCATTATAGTGTAGTATATAATGGCGCTGTGATAAATATAGAATTGAGTAAATATAAGATGAGCCTGAATTACCTTTTATAAGTAACAGTGAATGATATTATACTTGTGATATTTTGTATGTCTGGGAAGGAGAGTGAGCAGGAGGATGATAACAGGGAATTGAAAGTAGGATGATAAAACAGGGAGGTGTAGAGTAGGATGATAAAACAGGGAGGTGTAGGTAGGATATAAAACAGGGAGGTGAGTGAATGATAAAACAGGAGGTGTAGAGTAGAATGATAAAACAGAGGTGTAGAGTAGATAATAACAGGAGTAGAAGTAGAATGATAAAACAGGAACAGAGTCAGATGATGAAACAGGGAGGTGTAGAAGTGGGATGATAAAACAGGGAGGTGTAAGGAAGGAGGTAGGATGGACCGTCATTTACAGCTATTCTTTATCAGTTTGCAGCACATGTACCGGAAGTAATATTCACGGTAAACACGATATTCACCTTAATATACATGTATCAGGTGTATATATAATTAAGGGTTGAAAGTTACGAGAAAAATTCGACTTTCTTGAAGGTTTTCCGTGTTAGTCAGGTCAGCCTTTCATGACTTAAGGAAGTGGTGTTTTTTTATGTTTTTTTCCCAAGTGAGGATGTTTTATTGTGTGTGGTTAGAAGGACTTGATCACTAATTCTTGATCAGTTTTATTTGTTCATTTTTTTATCGGAGTTTAAACGATCTTGACGTCACATCATCAATTGAATTTATTTTACCTTTAAGGAGAATAAACTGGACCTGAGTGTGTGTGTGTGTGTGTGTGGGGGAGCTGATCAAAGCTTTTAATCCTCGGCTCAAACAAATTCCTATGACAACAAATAAGACAAAAAACCATTCCCTTCTCAGTCTTTGTTTTATTTTTTTTTTGTCAGTGGTTTAGTGAGTTTTCGGTGATAATGTCTTTGTTGTGACGGCGCCGTGTATTACCTGTGATGGGCTGTTGGTGTAGTAGTAATAGTAGTAGTATTAGTAGTAGTAGTAGTAGTAGTAATAGTAGTAATACACACACACACACACACACACACACACACACACACACACACAAACACACATGTATCTATATCTCATTTTTGTTATGGATAAAACAACAAATTACAGAGTGTTGTTATTGTGGCACTGGTAATTGGCACTACTTTACTACCCGTGGCACTGGTTATCACTGTGTGCATGTATGTGTGGGAGCTTCTCACCTGTAATAAGACACACCTGGTAAGCAATTATGTATGTATGGGAATATTTACTCACAAATACATCAACAAAATTAATTGGATCACCTGAAGAGTGGGTAAGTGAGTGAGAGGTGAGGAAAATTAGTGCAGAGTAGGGACAGGTGGTGGAAGTGGGCAGGTAGGTGAGAGGTGAGAAAAGTGAGTGGAGAGGAGAGGGAGTAGGTTGGAATAAGGAGAAGGGAATGAACAGGTAGTTGAGAGGAGGGAAGGGAGAGTGGGCAGGTAGGTGAGAGGTGAGTAAGAGTGGGCAGGTAAGTGAGAGGTGAAAGAGTGGGAGTGGGCAGGTATAGGGAGAGGGGAGTGGGCAGATAAAGACTGTAGGCTCCAGCGTCTGCTTCGTTATGCCTAGTCCACTACCACCCTCTCACCCCTCACCTCTCTCTCTCTCCTCCTCTCTCTCTCTCTCTCTCTCTCTCTCTCTCTCTCTCTCTCTCTCTCTCTCCTTCCCTAACTTAGAAATTGAAGATCATTGAAAGTCGACACACACACACACACACACACACACACACACACCTTCGTCAGTATAAGAATTACGTAAAGAAAATTGGTGACAGGGAGAAGGTGTGTGTGTGGCTGAGCAACTATCACTGCGAGGTCTTGGGCAGCCACCACACCCCCTCCTGCCAGGAAGCAGAAGAAGGAGTAGTAGGTCGGTAAGGAATGGCGGGGGAGGAGGTGGGGGAGGTAATATAATAAATGGAAGAAAAAAGAAAGATGAGAAAAGGAAGGGAGACAGTAGGGAATAGGAAGAGGAGGAGAAGAAAGGAGAGACGTAATGGAAATGAAAGGGGAAGAAAGATAACTAAGAGGAGAGGAAGGAAGAGCAACTTCTTAAACACTGACGTTTTTGACTCCATGAAGTGACACCAGAACACTCGTTGTGGTGTGTCTAAAAATATATATCTAAACCATCTGTTTCTTAGAAGAGAGAGGAAGGGGAGGGGAAGAGGAGGAGGGGAAGAGGAGGAGGAGGAAGAGGAGGAGGAGGAAGTAGAGGAGGAGGAGGTGGAGGGAGGAGGAGGAGGAGGAGGAGGAGGGCAGAGGAGGAAGGGGGTAGAGGAGGAGGAGGAGGAGGAGGAGGAGGAGGAGGAGGAGGAGGAGGAGGAGGATAGTGATATAAACAGGGGTGGTGTGTGGAAGGGAAGAGGAAGAGGGGTTTTGAAGAGGAAGAGAAGGAACAGGGAGTAGTGAGATGAAGAGAAGAAGAAGGAGGAGGAGAAGGAATGAGGGGGGAAGAAGAAGAGAATATAAGGAGGGGATGAGAAGGAAGAGGGGGAAGAGGGGCTTACTAACCAAGAAGGGGTGATGGGGTGAAGGGGTGGGGATGGGGATTTGTGACCTATAACACAGGCACAAGTATAGTGATGATTTAAATGTGATATATTCTGACTCGTCTCACACACATTCCTTTGAGCTGACTTACACACAGTACCACTTCTCGTCTGTAGTCGTGGTTTTAAGTTGAAAGTTTAAAAGGTCTTATTGGTTTACTCACCTGTTATGTAAACCGGAATCCCTACTGTCGTTTTAGTCTTTGTAAACACTCGTATCATAAGTCAGTGTTGTGTATTTACATATTTCTATCCATTTAGTTCTAACGTGGTTTACTTCTGGCATTGTCTGACTGTCGTGGTTTACTTCTGGCATTGTCTGACTGTCGTGGTTTACTTCTGGCATTGTCTGACTGTCGTGGTTTACTTCTGGCATTGTCTGACTGTCGTGGTTACTTCTGGCATTGTCTGACTGTCGTGGTTTACTTCTGGCATTGTCTGACTGTCGTGGTTTACTTCTGGCATTGTCTGACTGTCGTGGTTTACTTCTGGCATTGTCTGACTGTCGTGGTTACTTCTGGCATTGTCTGACTGTCGTGGTTTACTTCTGGCATTGTCTGACTGTCGTGGTTTACTTCTGGCATTGTCTGACTGTCGTGGTTTACTTCTGGCATTGTCTGACTGTCGTGGTTTACTTCTGGCATTGTCTGACTGTCGTGGTTACTTCTGGCATTGTCTGACTGTCGTGGTTACTTCTGGCATTGTCTGACTGTCGTGGTTTACTTCTGGCATTGTCTGACTGTCGTGGTTTACTTCTGGCATTGTCTGACTGTCGTGGTTTACTTCTGGCATTGTCTGACTGTCGTGGTTTACTTCTGGCATTGTCTGACTGTCGTGGTTTACGTTTTATGTTTACTATCTCGTTGGTTTACCTCCGTGCATGTAAATTGGGGTTTCTCTTGTGTCGTTATAACCTTGTAAATGGTAGTTTAAACGTCTCAGGCTTCTGTCAGCTTCACCCATTAATATATATAACTTCTGTGTTGACATTCTTTTCCATAAATTGTACAAGTTGGCTGTAACACTTAGGGTACAGAGGACCACCCACCTTCAATCCTCCCTATTCCTCCCCACTCTCCTCCTCCCTTCTAACCCCTCCCCCTCCTCTCCTTCCTCCCCCTCCTCTCCCCCTTCCCTCCACCTCCTCCCCCTCTCCCTCTCCCCTCCTCCCCTTCCCTCCCCCTCCCCTCCCCCTCCCTCCTCTCCCACCTCCCTCTCCCTTTCCGTCCCCCTCCCTCCCCCCAGATTTTCCGCTTATTGCATTCAGATGTATGGTTTCTGACAGAATTGCTCGACACATTGTTTTTTTTTTGGGGGGCAATAGGCACCGATCTCGTACAGGTAAAAGGTAATTGTATTTGGACGTCAATTTAATCACCTATTTTTAGCCAAACATGAATGTGAACCTAACCTAACCTAACCTAACCTAACCATGCGAGAGAGGACAGGCAGGGGACGGAGGGGTGAAGATGGCCAGGGACACACGCGCCAAATCTGTGTGAGGGCAAGAGCGTACAGAGCCAAGTATAGTGAGGGCTGGTGCGTATTTTGGGGACAGGACCGGCGTAAACACGAGAGAGAGAGAGAGAGAGAGAGAGAGAGAGAAATATAAAAGGAATAGAGAAAGAAAGTGACAAAATATTTTCCCAGGACAGACAGAGGAGAACACGGCGTTAACATTGACCAAAAGATAAAATAAACAAGAATTACCTTTAACTTTAGGTCTATATTTTTTCCCCAGTAATGACACAAATATTATAATTATATACACGGAAACTATACACATCTAAGATCATATAAATTCGTATTAAATTATATATGAAGGTAATAGTGTAGAGGAATTACCTGTATTTTGATATAATGTAGAGGTAAATATTTTTGTGGGTCCTGTGAGGTGGCAGATTTCACAGGTGACTTTAAGACAGTGTGAGCTTCACTATCTACCATATTTCATAAACTTAATGGACAGGAACGTACGAGAAGAATCCCAAAGAGTCAGAGGAGGTGAAGATTCTTAGAATGTCGTACCGCCTCCCCCCCCCTCACCCACCACCACGTGATGAGTTATGGGTGTGGTGGTGGTGGTGGTGTGGTAGTGGTGTTGGTGTGGTGTGGTAGTGGTGTGGTGTGGTAGTGGTGTGGTGTGGTAGTGGTGTGGTGTGGTGTTGGGGTGTTATTGGTAGTGGTGGTAGTTGTGGTGGTGGTGTGGTGTGGTAGTGGTGTGTGGTGTGGTAGTGGTGTGGTGGTGGTGTTGGTGTGGTTATTGGTGGTGGTATTGGTGTGGTGGTGGTGTGGTGTGGTGTGGTGTGGTAGTGGTGTGGTGTGTGGTGGTGTTGGTGTGGTGTGGTGGTGGTTGTGGTGTGGTAGTGGTGTTGGTGTGGTGGTGGTGTGGTGTGGTAGTGGTGTTGTTATTGGTAGTGGTGTTGGTGTGGTAGTGGTGTTGTTGGTGTGGTGGTGGTGTTGGTGTGAGTAAGTGGTGTTGAATTGTGGTGAGTGGTGTGGTGTGGTGGTGGTGTGGTTATTGGAGGTAGTTATTGGTGTGGTGGTGGTGTAGTTATTGGTAATTAGTGTTGGTTAATGAGTGGTGTTGGTGTGGTGGTGGTCAATTGAGATTGTGGTGGTGGTGTTGGTGTGGTAGTGGTGTTGGTTGGTGGTGGTTATTGGTTATTAGTGAGTGGTGTGGTGTGGTAGTGGTGGCAGGTGGTTCTGGTGTGAGTGGTGTTGTGTGGTGGTGGTGTGTGGTGTGTGGTGTAGTTATTGGTGGTGGTGTGGTGTAGTGGTGGGGCATGGTGTGGTGAGTGGTGTTGGTGTTGGTGTGGTGTGGGTGTGTTGGTGGTGTGGTGTGGTGGTATGGTGGTTCTGGTGTGAGTGGTGTTGTGTGGTGGTGGTGTGTGGTGTGGTGTGGTGTGGAGTGGTGTGGTGTGGTGGTGGTGTGGTGTGGTAGTGGTTGGTGTGGTGGTGGTGTGGTGTGGTGTTGGTGTGGTGTGGTAGTGGTATGGTGTGGTAGTGGTGTTGGTGTGGTAGTGGTGTTGGTGTGATAGTGGTGTGGTGTGGTAGTGGTGTGGTGGTTCTGGTGTAGTGGTGATTAAGGTAGTAATGATGATGATGGTTGTAGTGTTGATAGTTTTTAAAAGATTTATAATAATTCATCTTTATACATTTATGACTATCAATTATCTTATCATTATCTTTATCCATTTCCTTCATCATCAATATTTCACTAATCCTACATTTACTGTAAGAACAACCAATCGTATTTTTCTTCATTCTCCACAATCATCAGACCTCTGCTTTCTCTCCTTCTCTTTATTTTCCTCCATTTATACAGTTCATTATTCTTCTTCAAGCGAGGGACACCGTGGCTGAGATCTTGCCAGGCGTCTGTTCAATGTTCATCACCTCCTGCAGTAGACACAGTTCAGGACACAATCGTCGTCGGTAGGGTCTTTGAGGTAGCCGAAGGAGGGAGGTGTGAGGGAAGTTGCTTGTATACCCGGACGGACAGGTTGTGAGAGGAACGTGCCCAGGTGTTCCATCAAGGTGTTCTCACGAGTAATTTATCATCTTCTATACTCCGTTTGTCCTCCCTACCTCTACCTCCCTCCTTACCTCCTTACCTCCCGACTTACCTCCCTAACCTAACCTACCTAGTGACTTCTGGTCTTTCTATCTTCTTTTCTGCTCTCTCTCTCTCTCTCTCTCTCTCTCTCTCTCTCTCTCTCTCACCACACCTGTGTTAGTGATCCCTCAGCAGCCAGGTGAGAGCGGGAGAGATGGATGTGTTTGGGGACAGAGTGACAACTGATGAAGGAAACTAACTCTCTCTCTCTCTCTCTCTCTCTCTCTCTCTCTCTCTCTCTCTCTCTCTCTCTCTCTCTCTCTTACTCTCTCTCTCTCTCTCTCTCTCTCTCTCTCTCTCTCTCTCTCTCTCTCTCTCTCTCTCTCTCTCTCTCTCTCTCTCTCTCTCTCTCTCTCTCTGTCTCTCCATCCATCCATTATTTATCTCTCTATCCATCTACCTGTCTATCTGTATGTCTAATTTATCTAATATATCCATTTATCTACTTAAGCTCTTTAATCTATTTCCATAATTCACTATCTAGATTTTTGTTTTTCAATTATAATTTCCGATTTTTTGTCTGAGTTTTTCCTTTGACAATGAGAGGTCAGACAGTCGAGGGTTTATTAAGAATTAACTTTATGTGAGGATTTAATAGTCGAACCCGAGTCATGGAACTGAACCCGATTTATGGAACCGAATCCGAGTCATGGAGCCGAACCCGAATTATGAAACCGAATCCGAGTCATGGAACTGAACCCGAGTCATGGAACTGAACCCGAGTCATGTAACCGAACCCGAGTCATGAAACCGAACTTAACTCATGGAACCGAACCCGAATTTTACCCATTAACACAGTGGAAGAGACGGAGGAAAGAAGAAGAATAAAAAGGAAGAGAAAGATAAGAAGAAACAGAACCCCCCTCAACAGAACCAACAGTAAACAGAGTAAAAACAGATACGAAGGCAACAGAGACATACCACTACTCTGGCTGGCTACTGGAAAGAACATGGTCAACATCATACTACCAATGGAAGTTTTTTTATTTTTTTATTTTTTTTTTTATCCTCACGCCCGGCACTGGCACTTCATAATTCTGGCACTGGTGGGCAAGGTGAGGGAGAGGTAGGGGGAGGGGGCAGGGAGTGAGGGAGGGGGTGGGGGAGGGGTGGCTGGGTGAAGGGAGGGTAGGAGAATGAGAGAGGGATGAAGGAGGGAGAGGGAAGGGAAGATGAGGATGCTGGGGAAGGAAAGAAAATAAGAGGATATAGAAGAGAAAGAGAATAGGTGAATACGAATGTTTAAACGTAAAATGAGAAGAAGAAGGAGATGGAGAAGAAGAAGAAGAAGAAGAAGAAGAAGAAGAAGAAGAAGAAGAAGAAGAAGAAGAAGAAATCAAAGGACATATTAACGCGCGTTTATTCACCGTAAAATTATACTTCATATAGAATGTTGTTTTTAACTCTTCAAACATTCACGTCTCGAGAGGTGTCCCTTTTAAGATGAGTAATAAACAAATGAGGAAGAAGAGGCGGAGAACAGAGAGGAGGAGGAAGAGGAGGAATGAGGGTAGGTGGACTAGTAGGGGGGTTTTAAGGAAAGGAGGAGGAGGAGGAGTATGATGACTAAAGAGAGGTAGAAGAAGAGGGGGAGGAGGAAGGGAAGCAGGAAGAGGGGGAGGAGAAAGAGAAGGAAGAAGAGACTGAAGAAGATAAGCTAATGAGAGATGCCGGAACAATCAAAAGGTGAGGAAGAAAATGAATATAAGGAGGATAAGGAGGAGGAGGACATAGATAAGAAGAAAGGTAGGTAGGTAGGCAGGTTAGGTAGGTGGTGGGCCACGCCGGGACCAACCAGGTGCTACTTATTTTGGGCCTCGCTTATGAGGGGAACCACTACCACCACCACCACCACCGTCTCCGTCGCCCCTTGTCGCCGCAACTAGTTATAAAGTGACCTGCAGGAAGACCCACGGCCCTCGCTGGTGCTCAAGGCATTTGCCAATTATTCGTCATATTTGGGCGGCAGCGTGGCGAGGTGTTAGACGGGACTGTGGCGAGGTGTTAGACGGGACTGTGGCGAGGTGGTAGACGGGATGTGGCGAGGTAGTAGACGGCGAGTAGACAGGATTGTGTAGATAGTGAAGAGTAAACGGGATTGTAGATGGGATGTAAAGAGGGGTAGATGGAGAGGGGGAGACGGAACTGTCTCGAGATGTACTGTAGACGGATTATGGCGACCCACTGGACTCCACAAATGTCA